CCCTTTAATAAAGTTCCTTAATGTTGTGGCGACCCTTTAATACAGTTCCCTCATGTTGTGGCCACCCTTTAATACAGTTCCCCATGTTGTGTCGACCCTTTAATAAAGTTCCCTCATGTTGTGGCCACCCTTTAATACAGTTCCTCATGTTGTGTCGATCCTTTAATACGGTTTCTCATGTTGTGGCGACCCTTTAATACAGTTTCTCATGTTATGGCGACCCTTTAATACAGTTTCTCATGTTGTGGCGACCCTTTAATACAGTTCCTCATGTTGTGGCGACCCTTTAATACAGTTCCCTCATGTTGTGGCGACCCTTTAATACAGTTCCTCATGTTGTGGCCACCCTTTAATAAAGTTCCCTCATGTTGTGGCGACCCTTTAATACTGTTTCCCCATGTTGTGGCGACCCCCAAACAATTTTTTTTCCTTTATAACTTTAATGAATTTTTGTTTTCTGATGGTCTTAGGCTACCCCTGTAAAATGGTCGTTCGACAAGAAAAAGGGTATCGTGACTGGCAGGTTGAGAACCACCGGGTTATGGGGTGTTCATCCATCTTACAGCTTTTTGTTGCGCTGGTGGCCTCAATAATAATTTACTAAATAGCAAATAAATCATTAGTATATATTTTAAAAAGTGAAAACAACTCCATAGATGTTTTGAAAGCGGCGAGGGCTCGAAGACAACCTATCACAAACATCAGAAAAAAGAAAGTCATAAATCTTTTTTTAGTCATATCATGAAAAGAAGGAAACTGGGACATGTTGTGACCACTGGAATGAGCTATGGAAAAAGAGACAGGAAGGCAGTGTGAGAGGATTCTTGACGCCATTTTGTCACGGCATGGAGGGGTGTCAACAACGAACTCATACATGCTGTTGACGCAGATTGTGCAGAGGCCTATGCTCCATTGGAGGCTAGAAAGCCAGAAAGAAAAAAAAAGCAGAATGGTGGGCCGCAGATGTAAAAAGGTTGAGAAACACTGATTTGGTTAACTGATTGATTCGTTTGGTTACTGTTTACTTGGCTGATTTATTCGTTAGGTACTGTTCAGTTTGCTGATTGATTCGTTTAGTTACTGGTTTGTTGGCTGGTTGATTCGTTAGGTTACTGTTTAGTTGGCTGGTTGATTTGTTTAGTTACTGGTTTGTTGGCTGGTTGATTCGTTTGGTTACTGTTTAGTTGGCTGGTTGATTTGTTTAGTTACTGGTTTGTTGGCTGGTTGATTCGTTTTGTTACTGTTTAGTTGTTTGGTTGATTCGTTTGGTTACTGTTTAGTTGGCTGGTTAATTTGTTTGGTTACTGTTTAGTTGGCAGGTTGATTAGTTAGGTTACTGTTTAGTTGGCTGGTTGAATTGTTTGGTTACTGGTTTGTTGGCTGGTTAATTCGTTTGGTTACTGTTTAGTTGGCTGGTTGATTCGTTTAGTTACTGTTTAGTTGGCTGGTTAATTCGTTTGGTTACTGTTTAGTTGGCTGGTTTGATGATTGGTTTAATATTTAGTTGGTTAGCTGGCTTGATGTCCACACAAAATCTTATGCTTTTCCCATCTTTTGCTCTGTTTCTCTCTCTCTCTCTCTCTATTCCACCTCTCTCTCTCTCTCTCTCTCTCTCTCTCTCTCTCTCTCTCTCTCTCTCTCTCTCGCTCTCTCGCTATCTCTCTATCTCTCTATCTCTTTCCCTTTCTCGCTTTTTCACGCACTATCTCAGTAATTCTTTCGTTATTTCTCCCCCCCCCTCTCTCTCTCTCTCTGCTGTGCTCTCTCTTCCTCCCTGTCTGTTCGGTTGAAACTCGCCCACTGTGTATCGCTTCAGCCTTTTTTTTTTTTTGGCTCTTTCCCCATCTCTCTATTTCTCGCTCAAACATAATGTCTCGGTTTTTTTCTCTCGGTATCCTTGCATACCTAGTTAAAACATAAGCTCTGCATGTTCTAAAGATTATTTCAAATCTTTTATACTCCTCAAGGTTTTTCTAAATCCCTGCTCCCATCCTACCCCACCATAAACTCACCGAACATTCATTTTACCTTTAACCCCTGCCAACACACAATTTTAACGATACATATCTCACACTCTACAACAAAAACCCCATTGTATGTCACAGCCCGCCTCCATCTCCATTCAGAAACTGACAAAACATTGAAGTGAACATAAACTTTCCAGGTGCAACTTTCGTAGCCCCGAGAATATTTGTATTGGAAAACAGTTCAAGAAATAAATTAAGGTCCGCTTTCAAGCCTCGCGGTTATTTAGCGTAAAGAGCGGGCGTGCCATTGATCCTCTCCCGGCTGCTGCCTGAACAGTCTTGGCACAGAACAGGTTCAATTCCCGGCACGGTAACTATAGCTTTCGATTTTTATGTTGTCTATTGTGTTCTTCTATCTTTCTACTAAAATCTATGAGTGCCGTTCACAATACTTTCTGTTACTTGATTAATTCATAATTGGCACAGAAGGGAGTTTGAAGCACCATATAAACCAAGTCAAGACTAAGTGTGAGAAATATTAGGATACGCATTGATAAGACAGAGGCAATGGTAATAGGTACACTAGAAGAAACCATATCAATTAAAGGGAATAACAAGGTAATAAAACAAACGAGCGAATCTATATATACGAACATATCTATAAATGCCTCAGATGGAAGAATGGATAGAAAAATCAACATACAATGTGCGAAAGCAAATCCGGTTATGGGGAAATTAACACCGCTTCTGACGCATAGAAAGATACCTCTGCTAACTATAGCAAATCTCATAAGAACAGTTTTTTGGCCGACATTGTGCTACCAGTGCCAAACATGGACCCTTACTACAACTAATGAGCGGAAGATCGTAGCAGCAGAGATGAGATGTCTTAGGAGAGTTGTCGATGTGACGAGAAGAGATAAAATCAGAAATGAAGAAATTAGAAGAAGACTAGGACTGAAACCTCATACAATTCATTAAAGAACAACAAATGAGATGGTTTGGCCACTTGACGAGAATGCCCTGGTACCAACTGCCACAGAGAGCTACCCTGAAGAAATATAACGAACACAGAGCAAGAGGAAGATCACGCAAGGTATGGCGCGACATCACCAGAAGCAACATAACACCAACTTGTACAATGCATTGGAAAAAGCGCACAAAAGATCCTTACACCTTCCCCCAACACCCTGGTGAAGTAAATGGTGGAAGAGAAAAAGCAGAATTTCTAATAGTTTATGAGCATGTGGTAGACTTGGTTGTCCATACTGCAGTCTTACCGTTTTGTTTCTATGAGTGCCTATCAGTGTGTCTGTTTATTATATTTACTGTTTCTCCACTTAGCCTGTCTGTTTATGTCTGTGTATTACGGGCAACACAATCAAACCGATCTATGAAATCTCTTGTCAAAAAAAAAATACCGTTGTTCCCGTAACACAGCATTACGGTTCAATCTGTTTATAATTGTTGTTGTGTTTGTTATTTGACCTGCGCTTGGGTAACATAGACTTTATGTAATCTATGGTACTGTTCCAGTTGTGTGAGATGAATTCTGTCCGTAGTCCATAGATGTGGGTTCAGGCTGTACGATAGACATGGATAATAAAGACATATTAGGGGTGCGTAGTTGGTCATGCATCTTAGTATACTTGTTTCCGCAGCGATGCGCTTTCGTCATTTGGAGGTGACAGGTTCGATTCCCGGTATTGAAGCTTTCAGTTTCTTTTTTCAAGCTTTGTTTAGTCTGTTCTTCTTCTTCTTCTTCTTCTTCTTCTTCTTCTTCTTCTTCTTCTTCTTCTTCTTCTTCTTCTTCTTCTTCTTCTTCTTCTTCTTCTTCTTCTTCTTCTTCTTCTTCTTCTTCTTCTTCTTCTTCTTGTTCTTCTTCTTTCGCTCGCTTGAAATAGATTATCTATGTCTGCAATGTTGTCTCTAGTATGAACTTCACTGTCTTTTGTAATTTACTCAGCGAGCCGTCAAGTTTGACATACATCGATGTTTCTCTAGGCCAACAGTTTTGCCTTGAAATGTTGTATTTGGGACAGTCTTGGAGGACATGATCTGTTGTCTCAGGTGCCAATCCACATGTACACATGGCTGATTCGCCATTTTTAAATTTTGTGTACACGTGACTGCGAAGTCCATTGTGTCCTGTTCTAAGGCGTAGGATAATAACTGGCTCCGGTCTGTCCATAAAATGGTAATCATCTTGTGCCGGTTTTTTTTTCGCTTTCTGATTGATTTGATTATTCTCTTCTTTTGGTGATAAGAGACTGGTAAGTCAGGTTGTTCTTCATTTGCACCTTCCTTAGTTAGTTTACCAGCTCTTTCATCTCCTGGAACTCCACAGTGAGATGGTATCCATTGCATAGTTACTTTACACCGGCTGCCTAGTTTGGAGAGTAGTGTTCGTATGCCAGGTAGTTTTCCAGATTGGAGTGCCTGAAGCACGGCTCTTGCATCTGACAGAAATACCACGGGTTGTGAAAAATGACGTATATTTAACAGTTTCTCTGCTGTTACTTTGACTGCTTAAACTTCTGCATCATAGTTGTAACAGTGATTTCCGGTATGTATTCTGACTGTATATCCGGTATTGTGTGAATGCTCAATATACACTCCTGCTCCTCCATTTCTGCTTGCGTTTTGTGCTGATCCATCCTTATAGTCACGAACCCAAAGATTATGTGGGTGTTCTTCTGTTCTTCTACCCCTTTCGTTAAGTGCCGATCAATACATGACTGTTTTGTTTTATTACACATTTTGCGTGTGTGCTAAGATGTTTACGTTGCTAATTAATTTATTGTCACCCCCCCCCCCCCCCCCCCCATCTCTCCCCCTCACTCTTTTTTTTTCAAAAGAAAAACATTATGAGGTTTTCATGTTTTTTACCTATTTGTTTTTTTTTTTCTGCAGAAAACGTTCCGGTGTGCAATGATAGTAGTATACCATTGAAAAACATTCTATCGTCTGCATTGCTCATTTATGTAAGCAATATAATAAGAGAATCAACAATTAGTGATTCAGCAAACAGCAATGACAACAGAATCGGACATCATAGATCTGAAGGCTCGCTCCAGAGAAGGAAGGGGTTTGAGCCAACAGTATGGTGACAAATGGATTGAGATTCAAAAGAACACTTTCATGAACTGGGTGAATTTGCAGCTGTTGGGGTCTGGATTAACGGTGTCGGATTTCGAGACGGATTTCGACGATGGGGTTCGTCTGTGCACACTAGTTGCATCCCTGCAGAACAGGAAGATTGGGCGGGTGATCAAGAACCCTGTCAATCAACACCAGAGACTGGAAAATGTTACTTTGGCATTGAAGGCTATCGCTGAGGACAATGTCAGACTTGTCAATATCGGTAAGTAGTTCATGTTGCCTGTCTTTTGTCAGCCATCATTGCCATCGCCATCATTGCCATCGCCATCATTACCTGCAGTTTCTGTACACACGCCGAAACGTCTTTCTTTCTCTACCCAATTCTTCAGCATTACGTTCTTTCATCTTTAGTCATGTGATTTTTGGAGAAAAAAAGGAGGCCGGGGGGGGGGGGGGGGGGTTTGGAGAATATTGGGACGATTGGGAGGACCAATGGTAGAAGAAGGAGAGGCAGATCGAGATAGAATATGACGGATGGACTGCGACGGCGGCACTGAGAGATATCTTTGGGTGCTCAGTGGTCTTAAAGCATGGCGTCTGCCTCGAGTGCTGGAGGTCCCGGGTTCAGGCCCTGGTGAGGGCTGGGATTTAATCATGTGGACTTTAGTAATTACCCCTGGGCTCTGGGTAGTGAAATCAGACGCCCGTGTGTATTGTTGCGCACGTAAAAAAACCGTGGCAGTTGGAAATCGAAAAGAGTAGCCTAATGGCGCTGCCCAGGCAAAGTTTGAAGTTAAAAATTTACCCAAAGTATTTCAGGATTGTCGACGGTGCTACGGAGTTCGTGCACTTCGCTGAGATTCTTCGGACTCAGGCTTGAGTTAAAAGTAAAACGGAGCACATGGGTTACTACCCTTGCGCCATGATGTTGCTCCGTTGTGCCATGATGTTGATACCTTGTGCCATGATGTTGCTCCGTTGTGCCATGAGGTTGATCCCTTGTGCCATGATGTTGATCCCTTGTGCCATGATGTTGATCCCTTGTGCCATGATGTTGCTCCGTTGTGCCATGATGTTGATACCTTGTGCCATGATGTTGATCCCTTGTGCCATGAGGTTGATCCCTTGTGCCACGATGTTGATCCTGTGTGCCATGATGTTGATCCCTTGTGCCATGATGCTGATCTCTTGTGCCACGATGTTGATCCCTTGAACCATGCTGTTGATCCCTTGTGCCATGATGTTGATCCCTTGTGCCACGATGTTGATCCTGTGTGCCATGATGTTGATCCCTTGTGCCACGATGTTGATCCCTTGTGCCATGATGTTGATCCCTTGTGCCATGATGTTGATCCCTTGTGCCATGATGTTGATCCTTCGTGCCATGATGTTGATCCCTTGTACCGTGATGTTGATCCCTTGTGCCACGATGTTGATCCCTTGTGCCATGATGTTGATCCCTTGTGCCACGATGTTGATCCCTTGTACCATGATGTTGATCCCTTGTACCATAATGTTGATCCCTTGTGCCATGATGTTGATCCCTTGAACCATGCTGTTGATCCCTTGTGCCACGATGTTGATCCCTTGTGCCACGATGTTGATCCTGTGTGCCACGATGTTGATCCCTAGTTCCATGATGTTGATCCCTTGTACCATGATGTTGATCCCTTGTGCCATGATGTTGATCCCTTGTGCCACGATGTTGATCCTGTGTGCCATGATGTTGATCCCTTGTGCCATGATGTTGATCCCTTGTACCATGATGTTGATCCCTTGTGCCATGATGTTGATCCCTTGTGCCATGATGTTGATCCCTTGTGCCATGATGTTGATCCCTTGTGCCATGATGTTGATTCCTTGTGCCATGATGTTGATCCCTTGTGCCACGATGTTGATCCTTTGTATAAATCATCGTTGGTGAGACTGATCCAGAGGATAAGGCATGGAGATCTGTAGAGATGCATGAACACCAGTCGGCAGGGCAGGTGATGATGATGTTCTTTCATAGTCAGTGCATCTACAGTGTCTTGTATCCACATTCGCGGAGGTCTGTCTGTTCCTCATTTTCCGGAAGCTAACATCCATCACCAGGCAATCATGACGTTTAAGATGGCTAAAATACCCTTGGTTTATGTACAGAATGCTGTTTATAAGCCAGTTCTCCTTGATGCGCAGATCATGTAGGGTGTCGATGTTTTTCTTCTTCCTGGTACATGACATTCCAGTAATATCTTTTCTTAGTAGTTGAACACACACACAAAAGTTACTAGTTAAGGTTATCATCACATCACTCTGGGCAGATCACAATGTGCGCTGATCTACACCGCAATGGCTTCCACGCCCGAAACAGCTGATCTGGCTCCTCCTAAGTTGGGATGACAACGGGTTGACTGCAGTGAAGCTAATACCAAGAAATGAATGAGGGGGGGGGGGGGGGCAAGTACCATTGCTCGTCCACCCAACACAGTAGCTTTACCTGCAAGTCGATCAGCTTGCTCATTTCCTTGCACGCCTGCGTGCCCTGGCACAAATATAAAACTGATATGTGTCAGCCTCGGCCGCTTTAGAGACTTTAACCAATGTATTCTGACCCAGCCCTTCTGTGTTTTCCTGAGCATACTCATTAAGTGAATGCAAAAGCTTGCGCGGGAAAAGGTCTGTGTCTCCAACCATGGTATTCTTTGGTGACTGACATGAACTCCACAGTCAGACTACTTGTGGTGACTGCCACGACCGCCACAGTCAGATTACATGTGGTGACTCCATGACCGCCACAGTCAGACTACTTGTGGTGACTCCAAGACCGCCACAGTCAGACTAGATGTAGTGACTCCATGATCTCCACAGTCAGACTACATGTGGTGACTCCAAGACCGCCACAGTCAGACTACATGTGGTGACTCCAAGACCGCCACAGTCAGACTACATGTGGTGACTCCAAGACCGCCACAGTCAGACTACATGTGGTGACTCCAAGACCGCCACAGTCAGACTAGATGTAGTGACTCCATGATCTCCACAGTCAGACTACATGTGGTGACTCCAAGACCGCCACAGTCAGACTACATGTGGTGACTCCAAGACCGCCACATTCAGACTAGATGTAGTGACTCCATGATCGCCACAGTCAGACTACATGTAGTGACTCCGTGACCGCCACAGTCAGACTACTTGTGGTGACTCCAAGACCGCCACAGTCAGACTACATGTGGTGACTCCAAGACCGCCACAGTCAGACTAGATGTAGTGACTCCATGATCTCCACAGTCAGACTACATGTGGTGACTCCAAGACCGCCACAGTCAGACTACATGTGGTGACTCCAAGACCGCCACAGTCAGACTAGATGTAGTGACTCCATGATCTCCACAGTCAGACTACATGTGGTGACTCCAAGACCGCCACAGTCAGACTACATGTGGTGACTCCAAGACCGCCACATTCAGACTAGATGTAGTGACTCCATGATCGCCACAGTCAGACTACATGTAGTGACTCCGTGACCGCCACAGTCAGACTACTTGTGGTGACTCCATGACCGCCACAGTCAGACTACTTGTGGTGACTCCATGACCGCCACAGTCAGACTACTTGTGGTGACTCCATGACCGCCACAGTCAGACTACATGTGGTGACTCCATGAACTCCACAGTCAGACTACTTGTGGTGACTCCATGACCGCCACAGTCAGACTACATGTGGTGACTCCATGACCGCCACAGTCAGACTACATGTGGTGACTCCATGACCGCCACAGTCAGACTACATGTGGTGACTCCATGACCGCCACAGTCAGACTACTTGTGGTGACTGTCATAATCTCCACAGTCTGACTACTTGTGGTGTTGGTTCAGTTCTTAAAACACCTTCACACTCCCCGCTATACAGAGCAGAAACACAAATATTATCTAAAGCCAGTCTAGATGAATGTTCTTCAAACAGTGGGTCGCTGCTCACTAGTGGACCGCGGAAAATCCTAAGTATGCCGCGGTAATGTCCAGGTGGACCGCGGTAATGTCCAGGTAGACCTCGGTAAAGTCAAGGTGGACCGCGGTGAAGTCAAGGTAAACCGCGGTAAAGTTAAGGTGGACCGCGGTAAAGTTAAGGTGGACCTCGGTAAAGTCAAGGTGGACTGCGGTAAAGTCAAGGTAAACCGCGGTAAAGTTAAGGTGGACCGCGGTAAATTCAAGGTGGACCGCGGTGAAGTCAAGGTAAACCGCGGTAAAGTTAAGGTGGACCGCGGTAAAGTTAAGGTGGACCGCGGTAAAGTCAAGGTGGACCGCGGTAAAGTTAAGGTGGACCGCGGTAAAGTTAAGGTGGACCGCGGTAAAGTCAAGGTGGACCTCGATAAAGTTAATGTGGACCGCAGTAAAGTCAAGGTGGACCGCGGTAGAGTCAAGGTGGACCCCTGGAAAGTCAAGTTAGGCCGCCAAAAATTTCTGCCTGATCATGTAACTGGATATAGTAGGTAGTTTTCCTCTTCTAGGATTGGTAAAGTCTGCAGTATTACCACCTCATATTATGTGGATAAAACGATGTCGCATCGACTGACAATTTTAACTTTGTGACATAAGTAAGATTCAATGACATAAAATTCATTCAACAGATAAACTGCTATCTTTTTGTTTGTGTGTTTAGTTTGCTGTCATTTGGGCCACAAAACGATATCTCATGTTTTGGTGGGCCGCGGATGTAAAAATGTTGAGAAACACTGCTGGTCTTGATTACCCACAAGAGAAGGGATGTAATCGATATGGCCGTCCCTAAGCGGAAGCGCTTTGAGATGTCACCCTCACGTCTGCAATCCTTTGAGCCCGATACGTGATTCTCGTAATCAGAAAACTCAAAACTTTGTTCGTCTACGTCTTTGAAGGATTATTAACAGTTTTAGTTTCTGCATATGGTATTGTCTGTCTTTGTTGTAGTAATGTAGTAAGGCTTACATTTTGGTAATGTGAAACGGGTCTAAGTGAGAACACGACCCTGGGCGCTTCTCATTGCAAAGCATATCCTTGCTGAGGAGTCGCTACAACCCACCCACAGTGGGTTAGAGCAGCGGTTCTAAACTGGTGTCCACGAAGCCCTAACGTCTAAGGGCTCCGGACAAACTTCCCAAGGGCTTGCGGACGCTGTCCAAAATAAAATGGCCAAGTTTTGAGAACATCATGTGTATTGGGGTAAAATGGTCCCTTTACACGCCAGGGGCTTATTCCACATATGAGACTATACCCATATTTTAAAGACCAACAGTCTGCATAT